TAGGAAAGGGGAAAGGCATCCGCAGAAACACAGAAGTCATTGTTCAAATACACCTTGAATCTAAACAAGCCAGACATGTTTTCTGAAGAAAAGTTCAATAAGAACAACGGGGAATATATCTTGCTCCCTATTACATTGGAGTATTTTGTACTGGCTAGATTCAACTCATAGTGACAGATCATGAGACATTTTTGGAAAATAGTGAAATACATTATTCCACCTTCCAAAAGCTGCATTCCAATTGGAAGATGAGGCACAAACTTATGCAAAGGTGTATCTTGGTCACTGTCGTGCCTCTAGTGTCAGAAGGTGCCTAGCACATAGAAGACACGGAATGATTGATACAACAAATGTCACATCAGTGAAACTAGGACACTCAGAAAGGGAGAGTTGGATTCTTTGATATATATATCTCCTGTGACAGAAGGTAAAAATATATGATGTGTTTGGTATCTACACACACAATTGCTGATCGTGTCTGTACAATTTTGAGTCAACAACCATCATATTTGTAATAAGACTTTTAACTTAAAATGCTTTATTATCTGGAAGGCTCATTTTTATGAAAGTATTTCACATAATTTCAGATTCTAATGTATACTTAAGAGCAGTGAGTTTTGCTAATACAGCCTGGATACTCAGGAATGTATAAAAGTGAAGGTAAGTCATACCTTCAGACTCTCCAAAACTTACACAAAAAAGCCTATTGCTTGAAAATAGAGAAGCTAAAATGCAATGTTTAGGAATATGAATGTCCTTATATATTTATAACCAGTTAAGTTCACATTATGTTTTATCCACTTTATTCCCAAGCCTTTCTTTTCAATGTGTTTGAAGACTTTTAAGTATGAAAAATTTTTAGTGTAGAAAATGGCAGAATTATGAATGTGTGTGACCTTAGAAAGCCTTGCAAGTCTTGTATCGTGCATTTGCAAATGAATTCAGTTAGTAGATATCTCAAAAGCACTGCTTTATTGAAAGCATTCTCCTATTTCTATTTCTGAGGCACAAACTAGATGCTTTATCTTATTCCTACGTTGGAGACAAATTGCTGAAATGCCCTTAACCTGGCTCATTCTTAATGCTCAAATTTCAACACAAGTGTCACCTCCTTATAGAGACCTGAGAGAAGGTTATCTAAACTAGTTCCCCGCATCATTCTTTTCACATCAGCCTTTTTCTTGTGTACACATCGCTCTATTGTCTTGTGGTCCCTTTATCGTTATTTCTTAATTGTTCATTCTGTTATATAAACTCTGGACCCCGGAAACAAAGACTTTTTCTTAACTGCCACTGTAATCCCAGCCCCTAGATCAGTGATGGCAAAACTTTTAAGCTCGGCGTGTCAGCATTTTGAAAAACCCTAACTTAACTCTGGTGCTGTGTCACATATAGAAATTTTTTGATATTTGCAACCAAACTAAAACAAAGATTTATATTTTTGATATTTATTTTATATGTTTAAATGCCATTTAACAAAGAAAAATCAACCAAAAAAATGAGTT